TTTTTTAATATTTATTTTTTAGCTTTCGGCAGACACAACATCTTTGTTTGTATGTGGTGCTGAGGATCGAACCCGGGCCGTACACATGCCAGGTGAGCGCGCCACTGCTCGAGCCACATCCCCAGCCCAATTCTGTACCCTTAATAAATGATAACTAAATGCCACATCCTGGAAAAAATGTAAATTGATGTTACATTTTTCTATATCCCTAATGATGGTTAAGAAAATGTCACACTTGGCAAAGTTTTTGAAATTGTATAATCAATGATGCATTTTGAATCCATAATGATGAGAAAAATTGCAATAAAAGATGACCCAGAGAAAGCTGTATTAAATTTCTCTCTGGAGATTGCTCCAATGAAACAACCCCTGTTTCCTCCTTTTCATTGATGCCACTCATCCTTCAGGACTCCCTGGACTCCGCTAGGGCAGAACTCCAGCAAGGAAAGACAATGGTAACTATTATTTAGTTGGTGTAGATTTCAATTTTGCAAAATGAAAAAGAATTCTGGAAATGGATGCGAGTAATGGATGAAAAACAATATAAATATACTTAATACCACTGAACTGTACACTTAAAATGATTAAAGTGCCAAATTTTTTTGCTATGTACTTTAAAACTTCTAATAAATCAAAAAAAATTGTGGTGTAGTCATCCAACAGTGCTCTGCTCAGCAGTAAAAGGAATGAACTAGACATAGCCACAACCCAGAGATTCTTAAAATAATTATGCTTTCACATATAGTCATTCTCTCCTGTTGAAATCTAAAACAACTTAGTCAACATAATTGTTTTTAAAAAAGATAATTGTGCTCAGTATAAAAGAAATCAGACTAAAAAAGAGTAGAATATTTTATGATTCCAGTTATATGCAATTCGAGAAAACAAATCTATAGTGAAAAAAAAAGGTAAATCAATGGCTTTCCTAGTACTGCAAGAAGGGATAATAAAGGGGTATGAGGTAGCTCTATGGGTGATGGATATGTATGGGAGGCCATCCTCACACGTGATTGGAGTTACCTCCCTGGCTGGTGTCCAGAGGTTTCCCCACCCTCCTCAGGTCCGAGGGCTTGTCCGTGTGGAGACGTGTCTGGCCACTACCCCGAAGACCCAATTGTCACCCCTGACCTTGGGACACTGCCCCCCTTAATCTTCATTGGATGGGATTTTCCCCAGAATTTTTTGTTCCCCAATAAAAGTCCACTCCCTGGCGTGTTCTGTCTCACTAGCCTCTTCAGTAAACCTCACTACCAAATAGGTGGCTGGAGGCTGGAGCTAGGAGGAGCTGTCCTGGAGTTGGTTAAAAGGTAATTAGAGTCTTGTCTCTTTAATTCAAAACTCCTTAGAGATTTCTCACGTTTCGAACCTTCATTCATGAAGCTGGTGCTGGTCGCGGGCTAAAGATATGTTTAATATCATAATTATGATAATGTATTTATCATAATTATGATATTAAATATCATAACATCATATGATACATGAGTAATGTATTTCAAAATTTATCAAATGTGTGCAGGTATAGTCAATTATTGTGTGACAATTATATTTTAACAAGACATTAAAAGAATTTGTTGCACCCATTTTAGAAAACTAGTAGATTTAGTAACCTTTATATTAACTCTGCCATCTCTCTCCTTATGCCTTGGCAAGCAAAGAATGTGACATACATGGAGAACAGGATCCTTTCTCTTAGTAGAAAGGCCAGCAATGGCCTTGAGATGCATTGTGCATAGAGCCTACAGTATGTTTAGATTATTTGCTCTCGCAGCAAACTTATTTGTAGGACAGACATGGTAAGATTCTGAGAATTTCAGCAAACCCTGAATTCTGCACAGCCACATTCAAAGGAAGCTTGTGGATGCACTTTTAGTGTAGATCCATTCCTGCTGGTTTGTGATAATCTCACCTATGCCCTATAATCATGCTCCATGTTTCTGTACAAATTATGGGTCCACCTGGGCTTGGAACATCTTGGTAAAGAGAGACATCTGTAAGCAGATGCTGAACCTCAGGTACCAGTTAAATAGCAACTGCTTAATACTGCTAGGGGAAAAGGGATACATTAGCTCCTGAAAGCTTCCACCTTATCTAGCATCCATAGGAAATCTCCCCTGTGCAGATTATTGGGTGAACGAGGTTCAGCATCTGTCTGATAGCTCCTCATAGAGCCTACTCTCAGAGCTTCTCTCTGGTGTGTTGTTGTGTTGAACAAAGAGGGACACATCCTCTAAGTATGAACTGCTCCTAGATGCCTTAGAGGTCGTCACAACTGCCCCCTCCTTAGTATCCTAAGGTCATATTATGAAAATTCATAGCATTCAGACTGCAAAAATGGGCTCACCAAGCCACATGATCTTTCCTTAATACCCCTGGTGGGGGGGGGGGCAATGCACAAGGCCAGATCTGGGCTGAGTTGTTCTTTACCATCAAAATGTCCCTTCTGAGGCAGTAAATTTGGAGACACACATAACACTTCTTTAATTTAGTAGACATTTGCTCTGTTCTCATCCCACTCCTAAGAGTGATCAGAACACAGAGATTAAAGGTGGCTTTATCAATAAAGTCCTTATTATCACACAAAATAGCAATGTGAAGTAGGTATTTGGGCCAGGTAACACAGAGGCTGTATAAGTCCATCACAAGAATCACATTAGACCAATGTCCCTGAAAAAGGGAAACCCTTTCTGCAAGCTGCCAGTAGAACCACACTCAGGTCTTCATGGCTAAAAATGGATCATGTCCACAGATAAATCTGCCACAGGGGAAGGGAAGGACATCTTCCAATGGCCTCAGGCTACTGATCATTCTCTCCAGGGAGCAGAAAGAGCTCTGCCTTCCCTGAGTGTGTGGAGAGGCTGACGTACACTCTGGAGGTCTGTCAGTGGGATAGCTTCTGTTATAAATCCTCACAGTGACAGAACTCTGATAACATTCACGGTCGGAAAATGCAACTCAGCTCCTGGAAGCTTCCACCATATCGAGCATCCATAGGAAATCTCCCCAGTGCAGACTATTAGGTGACCAAGGTTCAACATCTGTCTGAGAGCTCCTCATAAAGCCTACTCTCAGAGCTTCTCTCCGGTGTGTGGTGTTGTGTTGAACAAGGAGGGAGTACATTCTCTATATTCCTTTCTCTGGCGTGAATTTTCTGATGCTGAATGAGGGTGGGCCTTCGGCTGAAGGCTTTTCCACATTCATTACACTCATAAGGCCTGTCTGGTTTGTGAACTTCCTGGTGCTGACTCAGATTTGACCTCTGTCTGAAGGTTTTCCCACATTCACTGCACTCAAAAGGCCGTTCACCAGTGTGAAGCCTCTGGTGGTTAATGAGGCTGGAGCTTTTGTTAAAGAATTTCCCACATTCACTACACTGATATGGTCGTTCACCAGTGTGAAGTCTCCGATGGCTATTAAGACTGGAGCTTTGGCTAAACAATTTCCCACATTCGTTGCACTCATAAGGCCGTTCACCAGTGTGAACTCTCTGATGTTTCATGAGGTCAGAGCTTCGGCTGAAGGCTTTCCCACATTCATTACACTCATAAGGCCTGTCTAGTTTGTGAACTTCCTGGTGCTGACTCAGATTTGACCTTTGTCTGAAGGTTTTCCCACATTCACTGCACTCAAAAGGCCGTTCACCAGTGTGAAGCCTCCGGTGGTTATTGAGGCTGAAGCTTTTGTTAAAGAATTTCCCACATTCACTACACTGATATGGTCGTTCACCAGTGTGAAGTCTCCAATGGCTCTTAAGACTGGAGCTTTGGCTAAACAATTTCCCACATTCGTTGCACTCATAAGGCCGTTCACCAGTGTGAACTCTCTGATGTTTCATGAGGTAAGAGCTTCGGCTGAAGGCTTTCCCACATTCACTGCACCTAAAAGGTCGTTCACCAGTGTGAACGGTCTGGTGTTGAATGAGACTAGCAATGTGTCTAAAGAATTTTCCACATTCATTGCACTTATAAGATCTTTCTCCAGTGTGAACTCTCCAATGTTTAATTAGGCTGGAGTTGCAATTGAAGGATTTCCCACATTCCCTGCATTCATGAGCACTTCTACCAGTGTGAATCCTCTTATGATGAATGAGGTTGGAGCGATGGCTAAAGAATTTCCCACATTCACTGCATTCATATGGCTTTTCTCCAGTGTGAACCCTCTTATGTTGAATAAAGTTGGAACTTCGGCTAAAAAATTTCCCACAGTCGCTGCACACATGAGGGCTTTCACCACTGTGAACTCTCTGATGCTTTATGAGACTGGAGTTTTGGCTAAAGAATTTGCCACATTCGCAGCACTCATAAGGTTTTCCTCTGCTGTGAACCCTCTGGTGTTGAATGAGACCGGTAACATGGCTAAAGAATATTCCACACTTGCTGCATTCATAAGGCCTTTCTCCAGCATGGATTCTCTGGTGCTGAACAAGTGTGGATTTGTCACTCAAAAATTCGCCGTCCCTGAATTCACAGCTCTTGTTATGTCTTCGCATAGTTTGAGAATCCACTGCACCTTCACTGCTCCCGTGTGACTCCTCCACACTTGGAGTGACATGATGCTGCAGAGAGCCTGATGTGGTCGCAAAGTCCTTCCTGCTGTCCCTGCACATGAAAGTCTTCTCTGATGTGTGTTCTCTGAAGGTCTTCATAGGAGAGGCCCTGCCTTCCTCCCTTCTGACAGACCTGTCTGCATTCTGCTGTGCCTGTTGCTGGAGAGGACTTGCATTGACCTTGAACCCTCTTCCATTCACCTCACACATAGATAGCTTCTGCCTGGGATATGTTGCCTGGTAGTCTTTCAACTGTAGGCTATACGTGTCACAAGGGTAGGTCTTCTGGGTAGATAGAGCTGCCTTGGAATTCCTGTCCTGTGAAACTCCTTCTACAGAGACACTTTGTTCAGAAGGTAGCTTCTCACCCTCTCTTCCATGGCAAAGATCTGCAAACAGAGCAATGCTAGTGAAATTCCTATAAACTTTGATGAATACACCCCAGTACATATTCTTGTCCAACCCTGGAATGAGTCCATAGAATTGTTGGTAAGGTGAGAGGCCTCAGGACAAAGTAAAAAATGCTATGCTCTGCAGTCTTATGCTTGACCAAGTCACAAGACAAGAGAGGCCTTTATTAGAACCAAGAACAAAAGAATGGGGTACAGTACAGGGTGGAGAGGCCGTATCTCTAACTCACTTCTCTCCAAAGCCTTTCGGCCGAGTCTTCACTGCTGTAAACCTTTGAGGGCTATGCATCAGGCCAGGCCTGGGAAAATCTGATTCCAACTGAGTTTTCAAGCACTTAAAGGAAATATGCATATCTCAGGATTTACAAAATGGAATCCAACACTGGAGAGTGCTACTGAGGAAGCTGTAGCCAGAAGGAGACATGGAGGCCAGAAAGGTGGGGCCCAGCCAGGGACCCAAAGTCAGAGCAGAGATGCCAAGTGGGCAATAGGGAAGGAAAGGTAGAGATGAGTGCAGCCACTGGCTTTGGCACTAATGATGAATATAAGAAAAATGGTGGACTATTTTGAACACACTATTGACACCCCATCTTCCCCAGCTCCCACTCACCAGAACCAGGCCTGCCATAAGCCCCTCTTGCCATGGCCGTTGTCATATCCACTCTGTCAGGCACCCAGGGCTCTTTCCCCATATTCAGTTGGCCAACTATGTGGGACCTGAAAGATGTAAGTCCTGAGGGAAAGACAAGGAAGGTCAGTGGCCAGCACCTACTTGGGGGGAACTAACCCACATCAGATCACAGAAAACTCAATATTACAAAAAGAACAGAGGAAGTCTGGCAGGAATATCCAGGGAGCAAGTAGCCACCACACGAGCACTTGGAATTTCTGGCACTCAAGCACAGGAAATGTCAGCAAGGGACAGCAGAACCCAAACCACTGTCAGGGATCTAGACGACCATCCAGGTGAGGAGTGGCCAAATCAGATGGGCTCTACCAGGCTGATTGCTAGGCTCCTTGTGCCTGAACACTTCTCTGCAAGGCTCAGGCAGCAGGAGTGGGGCTGATCGGGGACACGAGGATACTGCACACAGCTCCGCCCTGGAACCCACAACACATGGACTGGAAAGTGGAAGCAGTTCCCATGGTCTGGTTGTGAGAAGGAAAGAGCTGCCCCTTGAACAAAGGGGACAGGCAGAGACAAGCTCAGGACACCTAGGAGGACATGACGGCCTTACCCAGTGAGGCTGTGAGTGCAAAGTTCTCCAGCATCACATCACAGTAGAGGAGCCTCTGAGCCTCGTCCAGCAGTCCCCACTCCTCCTGAGAGAAGTAAATGGTCACGTCCTCAAAGGTCACACAGCCCTGCCACGATGAGGACATTTCATTCTGTGATCAGTCTCTCTCCTCAGCATGCCCTACCCGTCCCCTGCTCACCCTCCTCCCTCACCCTGCTCCCCAGCTCCAGGAAGACCCAGGCCCAGTTCCTGCTTGCTCTTTTCTCCTGCTCCACGTGACCACTCTGTCAGCCCACAGATGGCCACGGAGCCGTGGGCACCGGGACACCATCTAAGCTCTGGCCCTGACCTGGAGGGGCTAAACCCCTCTTCAACCCCCTTCCCTAGTGCCATCCACGTCGTGCTTCTCAGGCTCAAACAAAAGGGGGCTCCATCTTTTCCCCTAATCCCCAGTGTGGATCCCCTCATCCAAGAGCTCACTCCTGGGTGCGCTTCACTCCTTGAACAACTCTGGACCTCACCACTCCATGCTTGGAGTCACAGCTACCCTGTCCCCTGTCCACAACACAGCCATCTCCATGGACTCCCACATGTCACTCTGCACATGGCACTCAGAGAGTGCTTGACAAATACAACCATGATCCCGTTCTGCCCTGGGCCTTTGGTGTCACCCACTGCCAAAGGTAACCTCACCTCTGCTTCTGAGACCTGACCTGCTCCTGGCTTCAACATGAACCACCCGGAGCACACACAGATGAGGGGTCAGGTGCACTTGGCCCCCTCTATGTTCATCACTCACACTCAAAGCCAATCCCTCTGCTCTTCCTACTCCCATCCACAGTCTAGATCTTGAATGTCCCCCAAAGTCCCATATGTTGACAACTTGGTCCCCAGCCTGTGATGCTATTGGGAGGGGGTGGAACCTTTAGGAGGTGTGGCCTACTGGAAGGAAATTAGGTCCTTGAAGGGCACATTGGGATCCCAGCCCCTCCTCTCGCTTTGCTTCCTAGCCATCATGAGCTGAACACATCTTCTCTTCCACAAGTACCACCATGATGGACTATGCATGCACGCTCAAAGCAACAGGGCTAAGCCATAATAGACTGAAACCTCTAAAACCATGAGATACAACAAACCTTTCTTCCTTTTAAGCTGATTACCCCAGGATTTTGTCACAGCAATGTAAAGCTAACTAATACATCCCACCATCCCACAGCAACAATTGTTGCTGGCAACAATTCCAACTAATTACCTACCCCTGAGCCCATTCCTCAGCCTGACTGAAAATCCCCAGGTTCCATTAAGGGTCACTACAAAATTCTGGTAAGAACAGGGGGTGGATAAGGACAGCCCAAACCTCACTGGAGCATTACTTCTCTGATTACCAAGCCTCAATATCCATCTCCTATCTATGTCACTTGCCAGATGCTTTTATCCCACACAGCACCCCTCGCCATGACCACCACTTTTCCTCATCCATTTTTGTGATGCCAAACAAGCCAACCCTGATGCCCAAGCAAGATGTCCTACTCTCAGTTCTCCAGCCACACCTTACTCTTACCAGGATTGTCACCATGACCTGAAGATTCCATCCTCTTAAATCTGCCACCTATCTTCACTCTTGTTGACACATGGATGCCACAATTTGGATGTTTTGCAGAGAGGAGAGAGAGAGAGAGAGAGAGAGAGAGAGAGAGAGAGAGAGAGAGAGAGAGACCCCCAAACAAGAGAAGCAAGGGCTATTTCTTCAGAGCTTGCCGCAGTCTTGGCTGGGCACAAGATCATGAGCCACCACACACCTTGTAGATTCAAACAGCAATTCTTTTTTCCCCGAACTCACACCGGCCTCTACACACGTTCTGGGGAAATCCAAGTTCTGCCCGCCAATTCACGTCCCAAAATACTTTCTCAATTCCACGAGAATTCAACGGGAACTCAGGCAGCAGGAACTCCCTATACCCAGCAGCAATAACCTTAAACCTGGAACTTCCCTAAACCCAGATTGTTTTAAACCTGGAACACCTTAAACCCAAATTATCTTAAACTGGGATACTTCCTAAAACCTGCAGGATACACCTTAAACCTGGATCCACCCTGGTCCTTGAGCAGGGTCACCTTTCTCAAAGACACATGCAATGTCACAGCAAATTTCCATTTAACATGGGGTATGCTGGCAAGGAAACGATGCATTATTCCTACTTGGCAATGGCCCTCAGCAAGTGCTGGCTAAACCAAGGGAGTCAGCCTCCATTGCTGAGGGTTTGTCAGAGGCTCAATGGGAGGCAGAACTGGGGGAAAGCATTATAATGGAGAACAGGGAGAGCTACAGGTATGCCCTGACTGGAGGCAAAGGGCGAGGCTGGCGGGTGTTGTCTGTAAGTGGACTCACCAGAAGCAGGGCAGTCTGTATGATGGGTCGGGGGAACACATTTGGCTTTTTGTGTTTGGTCCTAAGTTGGACACAGGAACAACAATCACAGTTGTCAGTTATTAATCAAGCCTGGACCACACAGGTGGCCAATTGTCACTGAAGTTGTTACTTAATTAGCTGGACTATCACTAGAGATGGCAATCTGGCTTCCTGCAAGTCTGACTTACAGCAGGCTGGCCTCCTGGGGTGTGTATGAACATGAGGGGGTGGTTTCCTGGGCAGGTTTCGGGACAGAGTGCCACTTTTACATATGGTCTGGCCATAGTTCAGTTTGCATATTGTTCTCATGCCCTTAATTAACACCTCCCCCCACCCCGAACATATATTATCTTTCCACTCTTCAAATCCACTCAGAATCTCAGGAACATCAGAGATTCAACATCTGGTGATGTTTTTGGTGGAAATAGGTTAGCTAAAACCTAACCTATTTCCACCAAAAATTCTCGCTAGAACCAACCTTCTCTCCTAGTTAACAGATCATTCATCCCTCCTGCAGCTAAATCCCAGAACCATGGTGTCATTTGTCCTCCTTCTCACCTGCCCATCAGAAAGTCTGCTGAGCAGATCCAGAATCCACCTGCAGTTCTTCTACTGACCTGGACTACTGCAGTGGGCTACTCCTTGGCCTGCCTGATGTCCATCCTCACCACACATTCAAGTTTCCATTCTGCATCCACAGGGAGTCTGGTTAAGATCCAAGTCCTACCACCTTCAACTGCCGCAGTCCGCCTGGGCAAAATAACCCAGAGGTGACAAGCAACTTGAAGGTTATAAGGGGAACTACTTTATTGCGAGTCAACTCAGCAGGAACTGAGCAAGAACTCAAAGTAGCTGGCACCCAAGGTGGAAGGAGCCGCTTCTCTGCGGGACAGCAGAGGTACATATACCCAAATAATTACACACAACTTAACTCAGTTAACATTATCTAGATACAGCAGTCAGCCAATAAGGAATCCTCATCATCTTAATGGCTCCCTGGCATTGCTTCACAAACCACTCCTCCTGACAAACTGCCAGGCACCATCTTGACTTGATTTGCATCCCCAACATTCATCCTCTGCTCTAAATCCTCCAGGGCTCCCAGCACCTTCTGAGTGGGCTGCCTGGTTCCTGCAGACACAGAAACAGTAACCTCACATTTCCTGGCTCCCAACTCACTGCACACAAATACACACACACACCGACCCTCACAAACACTTGTACATGCAGGTTCCTGTGGGCAGAAAACCCTTTCTCCCTCACCCTTCAGAATGCAGAAATGGAAACTGCTCTATGTAATTCCTGGCCTGCATTCCAGGACCCTAAGCCTGGAATGACGTTCCCTGCCCTCCCCCCCCTGGGTTCTCTGACTCAAGCAGGGAGAGGAGCGCCAGGACCAAGAGGGTGGGGATCCCACCACAGACCGGCTGAAGACCACCTGCTCACCTGCCCGGGGTCCATCAACGCCGCCACAGCCATCGAGGCCTGGGAAAGGTCAGAGGCAGGTGACAGAGGTGGCTCTCAGGGACTCAGCCCCCCCACCATCTATCCTGCCAGCCCGGGTGAGACAGGACCCGGGCTGAGGGTGGCGCTGCGGTCCCCAGTGCCCCCTCCCTAAGCCGGTAAAAGGCGCACGCGGCCCAGGCCGCCTCTGCGGGTGCGGAGAGCGCGCCGACCTCCAGACCCCGGCGGACACCCCAGTTCCAGGGGGTCCCGGCTGGTGCAAAGGCGGGACGGAGGGTCCGAGCTTCCCTGTCCTTCCTGCACGATGCGGAAAAGCCCCCGGGCAGGGTCAGCGGCTAGGCCCCACGTTCCCACCCGATCCAGGGTCTCGGGCTGCGGGGACTCAGAGCCGACACCGGGAAATGACTCGCGGGACGGTCGCGCAGGAAGTTCCGGCCTCCGCGGCCAGAAGTAAAGCCGCTCTCCTGCAGCCCCCGATGCACCAGCTGAGCCCCAGGACCCGGTCTCCGTCCCGCCCAAGGCCCCGCAGCGGGGGCGGGGCCCGGGGAGGCTCCGCCCCCTACGCCTTGCAGTCCGTGTTTTCCTCTTAAAGGGACCGTTCCCAGCGCTAGGTCGCACCCGGGACGGATCCCCCGCCCGTCCTGCCGGTGTGGGTATTGGTGAGCCCTTCACCCCTCACTCAGGGACCTAGATTCACATTGAAAACTGAAGTTAATACCTGATTGGCGGATCTTTGTGTACGAATATTAAATGTTCTAATTCAGTCCTTCTCAAACCAGGACATTGGCATCGCCTGGGAATTTGTTGAAATGCAAGTTGGAGACAACAACCCAAACTTAAGGACTCCGAAATTCTAGGAATGGGGTTCAATGCCTTAACAAACCATCTGGGGCGATCAAGCAATCTTTGATTGCTCCAATTTGAGAACAGGGACTCTTTAAAATCCAGTATATATAAAATGGGGAAAATAACACTACTCACATCTAATGGGTAACAGGATACATGGAAGGTACATGGTTTCTGCTTTATATAAAAGTTACTGCTATCATCATCATCATCATCACCATCATCATCCCAAGACTCACAAACAGGGCTGTGAAAGGGCAGTAAGAGACCCTTCTCAGCAAGGTCATTTAGAGTATTTGTCAAAATATAAAATACAATGCTCTCTAACTCAGTAAATACATAAAGGCATAAGGTTGTATTTTCTCATTCTTCTTTTATGAGATGCATTTACTTTTTTATTTTTAAATTGATTTTAAAATGGCCTGTGTTTATTATGTACAGGATGATATTTTGGAAATAAGCATTGCAGAATGGCTGAATAGAGCTAACTGGCATATGCATTACCTCTAAGAAACTGGAGCTTTGGGCTTCATACAATTACTCTAAATGGGTGCTGAAAATGGGCCACCCTGCCATGTTGTTGGTACAAAGGACCATCTTATGGAGGTTCAGGAGAGGAGCTTACATTGCCTGGGCCTTATCTAGCACCCTAACCATCCTGGTGTCCCATTAGCTTCACCTCCTAATACATGCCAGATTGTCCCCTTCCCATCACCTCCAACACTACCACCCTGGGCCAGTTCACTGTTAATGTACTCCTGAACAGGGGAGTGGACACTTCCCTGGGACCCCCATCAATTATTGTGTTCTTCATACAGCATCCAGAGTCATATCACTGGTTAAAACCCTTCCTTGGCCTCCAAACAGAGGTAGAATAAATCCAGATTTCTCATTGTGATCCACAAAGCCCTGTGATCTGGCCCTGCCCTTTCCTCTCTCCCTTCTGGACACACTGTTGTTCACCTGGACCCTGCAATAAACTAAGCTGCCACCTGCCTCTGCATCTTGGCATGTCCTGTCCTTTGCCAGGGAAGTTTTCCTCTTTGAAACCATCTGTTCAGGCATCAAATCACCTCATTTCCTGTCTATTCACCTCATTACTGCTCTATATCCCCTATGGTACAATTTAATTTTTTTATCTCTGTTCTTAACTTATTTTGCATTGCTATAACAAAATACACTAGGCTAGATACTTTACAAAGAAAACAGATTTATTTGGCTCATAAATCAAGTCCTGGGAAATCCAAATAGCATGATATCAGCATCTGGCAAGGGCCTACTTGACAGTGTCACAAAGGGAAGCAGCCATGTGCAGAAGGGGCCAACCACATGGGGTGGCCTTGCTTTATAACAACCTACTCTATCTGGAGAACTAATTCACAATTGTGAGACCCAACCTACTCAAGAAGATCAACACTAATCCTTCCTAAGGTTGGTACCCACATGACTAGTCATCTTCCACTGGGCTCCACCTCTTTAAGATCTATCACCTCTCTTTACTATTACAATGAGGACCAAGCTTCCAACACCTGAACCTTTGGGGAACCAATCATGTGCAAACTGTAGCACCACTTTTAACATGAGAACACTGAGGCCCAGGGATGCTGAGGGCCATTGCCAAGTAGGGATGACGCATCGAAATCCTTGCCAGCGTACCCCATGTTAAATGGACTTGCCTTGGAAATTTGCTGTGACCTTGCATGTGTGTTTGAGAAAGGTGACCCTGCTCAATGATCAGGGTGGATCCAGGATTAGGGTGTATCCTGCAGGTTTGAGGAAGTATCCAGGTCCTTGGGTTTAGGGCGTTCCCAGTTTAAGACAATAGGAGTTTTAGGGAAGTTGGAGGTTGAAGATTATTGCTGCCCGGGAGTAGGGCGTGCCTGCTACCTGAGTTCCCGCTGAGTTCTCGTGGAGAGAAAGTATTTAGGACGCGAATTGTGCGGGAGATTTGGGATTTCCCCTGAACGTGTTTGTAGAGGCTGGTGTGAGTTCGGGAATAAAGGATTGCTGTTTGAACCTACAAAGCTGTGTGGTGGCTCATGATTCTGTGCCAAGCCGAGACATTGGCACAGGGAGAAGTTGCATGCAGGAGGCCATTCAGCTGGTAACCGTCATAATTGACACAGCTGGAATCACAGTTTACCCCCAAAGTATAAATTCTTTCTCACCAGACCATTCTTTGCCCTCTGCACCTGCCCCCTTCCATACCCAAGTTCCAATTCCCCTGTCCTTTGTGTTTCTGAAGGCCACAGGATTCAGTCCTAGTGGAAGTGCTGATTCCCTGCGCCTTCATGAGTGTTGCCCACACTACACAGTGAGTTCCCGCCCTGCTCGAGGCCAGGCCCCATGCTCCGCCCCCAAGTGTTCCAGCTCCCTTCAGTGTGCCCAGGACACAGCGTATGCCCATGTGTGTGAACAGAGGGGTCTCCCGTGATTCTTGTCCATTGTACCAGCAAGTGCACAGCAGATCCCTTCAACCAAAGACAGGACAATAGATGGGGAGAACCAAGTGATGAGTCTTTTGTCCTGTGGGCATCTCACTCTGCTTTCAGGACAAGTGGGAGCCCAGTTCTCTAAGAAAGGTTTACAGTAAAGAGATTATTATTTTTATATATTTCTGTGTAACATATTTCTACCTTGGGATAATACTGATCATATCATATATCTTGGCAAATACTTCTAAAGAAAATCCCAAGGAAAGAGCCCCCAAAATATTCCCTGGTAGAAACCTATATGCACCTACATATTTTTGTCTGGCCAGGCTGTTAAAATTCTAGTCACTTTATTTTACAGCAACATGTCACATAATCTTCTATAAGATTAAACCATGACAGTCTGGCCCCAGATAGCTGTAGTTTAACCCATAGAAAAGGAACAAAGTGAATTTGGAAAGAAGAGGTGAAGTACAGGGGGTTTTTAAGACAGTGACACTATTCTGTAGGATACTGGGATGGTGGATACAGGACATTATGCATTTGTCAAATTAAAAAAGTGCATGAAACTTTATAGTATAGAGAGTGAATTTTTTTTCTAGGGCTAGATATTGAACCAAGGAGCCCTCTACCACTGAGCTACATCCCAGCCCTTTGTTTTTATTATTTTATTTTGAGATAGGGTCTTGCAAAATTACTGCGGTTGGCCTCCAACTTGTGATCCTCCTGCCTCAGTTCCCCAGTTGCTAGGATTACAGATGGCACCACTGTGCCCAGCTAGAGAGTGAATTTTTTTATATACCTTTATTTTATTTATTTATTTTTATGTGGTGCTGAGGATCGAACCCAGTGCCTTGCATGTGCTAAGTGAGCGAGTGAGCGCTCTACCGCTGAGCCATAACCCCAGCCAGAGAGTGAATCTTAATGTATGCAAATTTGAAAAATCACTTAGGTGGTCATGAGATCCCAGGAAAGAATGCAGACTGTGATAAGAGAATAACTGCATTGCACATGTATGAAACAAGTTCATTGATGAGGGTGAGGGAATAAGTGCTGACCTAAGTCACTCTCAAAATCAAAGAAGTCTGTAAGACTAAACACTAAAAGAACTGCATATCCGCTATACTCTAGTTGATAAAGTTAGTTCCCACAGAGTATGGGTTGACAATCCTAATACCCTAGGTTTCCAATACATCAGTCAGGTACTCCTCTATAGCCTGTCTCCCACCGGTGTAGATGTTAATGCTCTTCTTCTTACCCTTGTGAGAGTGATTGAGTTCCACTGTCTGACCTGAGTTGCTTTCAACAGAGACTCATCCCATGAAGAGTCTCTTTAGAAATCCGCGCTGGCATATCTGCCTGCATTGTTCTTTCTGAAGTACAGAGGTTGAGGTCTGGGTCTGTAAGGGGAATCTCTTAAAGGTCTGGATGAGGAGGAGTTAAAGTATTGATGCCTGCAATGCGGTCACGTGATTGCTCTTCTTGTTAAGAGAGAAAAGCAACAGGGTTAGGATTCTGATCGGTGGAAAGGAATGTGAGAGGGAGAAAGCAAAAGAATCCCAAGAGAGGTAAAGTGAGGGCAGGGGTTGTGGCTCAGGGGCAGAGCGCTTGCCTAGCATGTGTGAGGCACTGGGTTCGATTCTCAGCATCACATATAAATATGTAAATAAAATAAAGGTCTATCGATAACTGATAATTTTTTTTTAAAGAGAAGTAAAGTGAGAGGTCAAAAAATCTTGGGTGGGCTGGGCACAGTGGTGCACGCCTGTAATCCCCAGCTACTCAGGAGGCTGAGGCAGGAGAATTGCAAGTTCAAGGACAGCCTCAGCAACTTAGCAAAACCCTGCCTCAAAATAAAAAATAAAGAGAACTTGGGATGTAGCTCAGTGGTAGAATGCTTCTGGGTTCAATCTCTAGTAACACACACACACACACACACACACACACACACACACACACGCCTTGGGTGTTTCAGTTAGGAGGAGGATGAATGATTGAGACAGCTCAGGGTACATGAATTTCAGGCTAAGACAAGATTGGTTTGAACCAACTTAACTTTCCTGTTGCTTCCGCTACTCACACACGTGCTTCAGCTCTAGGGCTTGGAGATTAAAACAAGGGTCGTCTGCTTTCCATTAGGCCTCTGAGACAGGATGTTGTTTTCTCTTATAAATGAGTAGGGAACTGGGAAAGGAATCATTTGGGAGCCTCAAAGAGGGAGTAGAGAAAATGGGGAGAGGTTTTTCTTTTTTTTTAATGCCACCATA